CTTCTCTCAGGGATTGCTGTATCATCTTGCTTGTTTTCTCATGTCTGAGAACAGTTGTTTCATATATTTTCCGAGCTTTGTAATTCTTTACAGTGAGGCTAGTCTCTTAACAGTTACTCCAACATGGTTGAGCCAGAAGTAGAGATGTTGCTTTTTTATCCAATACTTCTCCTGCTTTTATTGAGTTGATCACATATTTGTTCTTCATTTTGTTAAAGTGATTATTTGGATTGATTATTTTTAAATATTAAACCAACCTTGCATTTTTGTGATAATCCCAACTTTTCATGATCTGTCATCTCTTTTATAAGTGATTGGATTCAATTGGATAGAATTTTTTCTGAGTATTTTTACATCTAGGTTTATGAGATAAATTCATCTATATGTTTTCTTTTTTGTAATATTCTTGGCATGTTTTAGTATCAGTGTTATCCTGGATTTATGAAATGAGTTAGGCAGTGTTTCCTTTTTTTTATATGGAAGAGTTTATTTGATTGGCTATCTTATAAGTTTCTAAGCATTTAGAAGTGAAATCATCTGGGATTGGAAGTTTCTTTGTGGGAAAGTTTTAAATTAATGATATGGTCCATTTAATAGTTATTGAGTAATTCACATTTTATATTGCTTCCTATGTCAGTTTTAGTAAATTGTGTTCTTATAAGAAATTGTGCATTTCATCTGCTTTTCAAATGTATTAACATATATAGTTCACCATATGTTCATTCCATTTTTTTCTTTGCTTGTTTGAAGTATAACAGATCTGCAGTACTATTCTTTTAAAATTCTTGATATTAATATGTGTTTTCTTTCTCTTTATTCTGGATGAGCTTTGCTGGAATGTGTTAGTGTTAAAAGTCTTTTTCAAAGAACTGACTTTCATATTTTAAATTTTCTACAGGGTACATTTAAAATTTTCTATGATTTTCTCCTCTTTTCTTTATTATTTCTTTTCTTCTAATTTTTTTTTGTTTTAAAGTATTGCTCTTTTTAAAATCTTCTTATAATAAAACTTAGATAATTGGTTTTTCAGCCACATGTATAAATCAGTGAAAATCAATCATCTGCATCTATGTGTATATATATATGAATTTTCATCTTAGAATGAATTTAACTGTGTTCCACACGTTTTGATTGCCATATATTGATTATAATTTAGTTAAAAATACTATCACTGTGATAAGAGAACATATGCAGTGTAGTATAAATTCCTTTGAAATTTGTTGAGACTTACTTTATGGACCAGCATGTGATCAATTTTGGTAAATGTGCCATGTGCCTTTGAAAAGAATATATATTCTGCACTTCTATAAATGTCAAGTGTTCCATAATTAGCACTAGGTATCCTTTTTAATCACGTTTTCAAATTGTCTCAATCCTTTCTGAATATTTTCTTGGTTTTTCTCAGTTAGTGGTATTGGTGTGTTAAAATTTCTCACTGTAATTCTAAATTTGTCTCTTTTTTTCAAATTTTACTTATATATTTTGCAGATCTATTATATGTATATACTTTTAAGATTTTTTTGTCTTCTTGATGGAATTTCCCTTTTTTTATCATAGAATGTCCCTGTTCATTTCTAGCAATGTTTGTTGATCTAAAGCCTACCTTGTCTGATATAAATATAGCTGCATTAGCTTTTGTTTTGATAGTGCTTTCCTGTTGCAACTTTTTCATTCTTTTGTTTTCAGTCTCTTTAATGTAAAGTTGTCTTTACAAGAAATATATAGTTAAGTTTTTTAATCCAGAATAACAATTTTTGTCTTTATTTGTAATATTTAGTCCATTTGTATTTAGCACATTTACTGATATATTTGCATTTGAAATCTGAATCTTATTTTTTGTTTTGTATTGTCTTATATTTTAGATTTCCATTTGCTTTCTTTTTTTGCCTTTCATTTAGTGGAAGGGAAGCAGATGATATAGAGGCATTGTCAGGTTATTTTCAAATAGCTGTTTCCAGAAGGCCATAGATTGACACTTTGCTGAAATATTACAGATAATATGAGGAAAGCATTGTTTATGCATACACACAGAGAGGATACTCCTCATAGGAATGGTGAAGGTCAACAGAGTAGTTAAAGAAGACTGAAGATCAGATGCTATTATTATTTGAGACTGTAAACTTAGTGAAAACAAAGACCATATCTGTTTGATTTACTATCTGTTCTATTTTACACTACATAGCGTGGTACTTTTTGAATGAATAGCTGATTGAATGGCTGAATAAATGAATCGGCTGTAACTATGGTATATTCCAAAGAGCAACACAATAGAGTCAGAAGTCTTTATTTCAATGTTTGCCTTGGTGCTTTAAAGCACGAATTTAAACAAGCACTAAATATTTCTGAGTCTCAGCTTACTCATCATGGGGTCACGGTGAGGCTTTAATAATAAAAAGAGTGTTGGGACTGGCCCTGTGGCCAAGTTCGCGTGCTCCGCTTTGGCGGCCCAGGGTTTTGCTGGTTTGGATCCTGGGCACAGACATGGCACAGCTCATCGGGCCATGTTGAGGTGGCTTCCCACATGCCACAACTAGAAAGGACCCACAACTAAAATATACAATTATGTACTGGGGGGCTTTGGAGAGAAGAAGCAAAAGAAAAAAGAAGAAGATTGGCAACAGCTGTTAGCTCAGGTGCCAGTCTTTGAAAATATAATAATAATAAGAGTATCAAATCATTTTGCATTTTTAGACAAATATGGTGCATTATTGTTAGATACTATATGCAGCTGCAATTTTAAGACATGCTATTTATCAAAACCCATTTATAGTGTTCTAGAATTAAAAAAAAAAAACTTCTTTCCTTTAAATGTGGAAATGCACTTTAATGTTTAATTTCTCCTTTGTGAACTTTTAGAGGGCCAAAAATAGTACCCTTTTACTTTCTGTTGTTTTAAAAATGGTAATTTTACTAAGCCTTATAACTTACAATATACTTTCAATTTATGTTATCTCTGTATTCTTCCAACCAGCTTTGTTAGCTAGAGAAGCTGTTAGTCTAGTGATTAGAGCCGTGTTTCTTGAATTCAAATCCAAACTCTGACTCTTACTTGCTTACATGCTATATAACTTCGGATAAGTTATTTTATATCTTTGTCTCTTGGTTTTCTCATATGTAAAATGGGGATAGCAATGATTCCTACCTCATAGAGGCCATTGTGAGAATTAAATAGGTTAGTACACATAGCATTTAGGACAGTATGTGGTGTGTAGAAATTATCAGAAAACGTTAATTTTTATTGAAAATTAATGTTCATATTAATTAGTATATTAGCTAAAATTAATGTTCATATTAATTAATCTAGAGATAAATATTTGTATTTATATTAACACTTTATAGTTGAGAAAACAGAGGTTGGGAGAGGTTAAGTGAGTTTTCCAAGGTTACTCAGTGAATGGCAATGCTAAAACCTGAGCTTGGATCTTCTGATTCGAAGTTCAGTGCGATGGTGTGATAAGTGTTCTGGCCTCTACAACATAGGTTTTGGTAAATATTTTTGGATGATAATAGTTGAAAGGACCAATTTAGCTGAGAAGTTTCCTGGGGAATTCTAAAGACAATTGAAACTAGAAAAATTAAAAGTTTTTGGTTCTAATTAGTTCATGTCTATAATTTCCCATCTATGTATTTTTTTTTTCAGTATGTGTATACTTAATTGGAGGTAATGGATTGTTCTAGTTCTAGAAGGAGGAATAAGTCTGGCTTCTTGGGCCAGATTTTAATGAGAGCAGGTAAAATCACCATGAGGTTCACTGATGTGGTTTTGGGGAGAGGGTTATCTTATTATCTTGGATCACTGCCTGATCAATCCTAGAATCAGGCAGCCAAAGAATGTTACCGCTGAAAGAAACCTAAGAGGTTTGATAACTCAATATTTTCATTTTGCAGATTAGGCCCTCAGAGGGTAAATCCCTCACCCGTTGTTGCTCAGTGAGTCAGTTGGGCTAGAATTCAAGTCTGCTGGTTCCCAGGCTGGTGCTCCATCTAGTACAACACAGGCTCAGGAAAACAAGTGCCGTGCCAGTAGAACTAGGAAAAGAAGTAATTTATAACTTTGGTACATATCAGGTTAAAGTTTAATTCTGAGTATTCTTTTGGAGAAAGACACACTAGAGCTCCTTTTAAAGCAGGGTATTGCTGTGTTCTTCAAGTGTAATACAGTAGTGACTTTTCAATCACTTGCTTTGTCGCTGTCTATAGTCATCTTTACTCATTTTTAGCTGTTGATTATCTGGCTTGGGAATTCACCAGACTCTTTACTTTTTGTTTTCTCCCATCCCACTGTTAACATTTTTGGCAGTTCATTAGAATATCCGTCAGAGAGAAGAGAGACAAAGAATGGAGGTCACACCTGAGTTTATACCGTTTTGATGAAACTGTTAGTTCTGTTGATGGAGAAAATGGAAATTGATTTCATGATTGTTTGTGAATAATAATACCATTATTATTCTTATGTAGCAACTACTTCTAAATTTTGCTTAAAACCTTACTCTACTTTACATATTCTTTAACATGTTCTGATAGAAGTTTGGAAATACACCAAACACAGTACAAATTGCATAGCCCTGTTGTGAGAATTAAATAAGATCCAATATATTAGAGGTAGTTTGTATACCATAAAGCTTAACACAAAATATGTAAGGTATTATTGTCCCTATTTTTCGAAGTAAGAAACTAAAGTTTGGTTATGACTATTACTTGGTTTGTTGGGGCTTGCCACATGCTCCATACAGCATCCCAATCTGTCAAAGACACTTGTAGCACAAATGGATCTTCTGGGTCATTAAGGATGGGAAAGCCGCTTGCTCCACAGCCTGGACAAGCTGAAAGTCTCCTCTCACCTGGGCTGCATTCAGAGTTGGCAGCCTTGCAGATTCTGAATGCTGAACCTTCACTGAATGATGACAAATGTCACTGTCATGGCTCATAATATTTAAATGTATGTTCTTTTAGCTGCATGAACTTCTATTAAACCCTGTTCTCTTAATTTTTATTACCAGGTAACCTTGGACGGGTGGACCAGGTCTCTGAGTTTGAGTATGATTTATTCATAAGGCCGGATACCTGTAATCCACGCTTCCGAGTCTGGTTCAACTTTACTGTTGAAAACGTGAAAGAATCACAGGTGAGGGAAATACTATAGTGGACGCCTTCAGTGTGGTTTTGGTAAGAAGATTATGCTTTTGTTTTATTTTAGGAATATCAAAATAATGACCATAATAGGAATATATTCTTGTATATGTATAGCAGTGATACAGTTTTGTTTCAAGAGATATAGAGAAATAGGTATAACATGCTGACTTTTGTTATCTAATGGTTAAGTAATACAAAATAGCTTATCTGAGACCAAAAAGTGTTCTTTACTGGTTGAAGCATTAGCTTGATATGCCAGGCTTTCTTGAGGGACACTGTAAGAAACCACACTGCAAGTGATTTGCTATTATGTTTATTATAGAGTGCTGTTCTCTATATTATTTCTTCTTTATAAAGACCTGTGAGGGACATTTCTCACAAGCTTCAGTTTCTGAAAAAGCTTTTGTTCTCTTATACCACAAGGTGTTTATATCTTAAAAACAACGTGATTCTTGTAACTCATCCTATTTTCCCTTCACTTTGGCTGCTGGAAAACACAGAGCCAATTTTACAGCCCTTTCTAATTATTCTGGGAAAGTTTTTTGCTTATGTTTCTGTATACTATCTTTTATTTTGATCATATTAATCTGTCTTTAACTGTGAGTTCATCTCGTACATTTTCCAACAGTGTATATTTTTATAATCCTTTTTAAATCTGTTTTGAATGAGAGGTAATATTAATAAAAATACAAAGAACTAAATACATATACTTTGAACAAGCATTAATAAAAATCTAATCTGAATAAATCAGTTACCATTCTGGTATATTGAGACAGCTGATCATGGAAGATTCTACACAAACTCTGTACATGTGATATGATTCTTTTAAGCAGATGAAAGCATGGCCCTTCTTCCTTCGGGGTCATCTTATTCTAATATATTTGAGAAAGTGAGGTGTTTGTCTAATTTCCTCTCCCATGTCAATCTGTCCTCTTGGCTCTTTCACCTGGTTGCTTGCTGCTCTCCGTTTCTCTCAACTGCAACTTGAGTCATGAGTCAGGCAGTGGTCAGTATCTGAAATTTAAGTACTCTGGGTCTTGCTTGATCCAATGCTGTTCCTGGTACACTGGCTTATTCTGCAGAATAGGGGTACAGGAACAGCCGCTTCACTTATTACCAATTCTCTTAATTCTCTACAATACCGCTGACCCGGGACTGGCTGTATGTAACGTGTACTGAAATTTAGGGGCTAACTGGAAGGAATTAAATGTATAGGAGAGCTCTGAACATTGTTAGCTAAATATGATTTACCTCTGCATTTTAGGACAAGTGGGAAAAGAAGTTAAACCCCACACAGAGAGCTGCTCAAGGACACACTTTAGTTCCTAGCTTGGTTCTTGGTTTTACTTATTTTCCCATGAAAGAATTCCTTTTTCAATTTTTCACAGTAAGAATAATAATATTCCTCCCCTCCACCCACTTTGGGAAATCCTGAACTTAACCTACAGGGATTCACCTGACCCTAGGATTATCCCACTTGTTTCACCAAGACAATCAATAATCCTCCAAGTGTGTTTTCCAAAGTCTATGTCACTGAGTCTTGAGAGTAGGAGGGCTTAGCCTGATGTGCTAGACTGAGTCTTAGCCCTCAAAATTTGGATCCTCTATGAAGATCTCTCTGCTATCATGAAGTAAAATACAACTTATCCTTCTGTTGTTGTTCCTGTCTCATGTCATTAACCTACGATTGTCACATACACACACCACTGAAAAACAAACAGTAATTCTGAGGCAATATACTCAATTCATATGAAAGAAGGGAAACCTTTTCTTAAAATTCTGCAGGATTTCTAAGTTCACAGAAGGGATTACTCTTTTCTTCTTTATGCATAGCATATGCACATCCTTTAGCTTGCCTACTGCATGTAGGAATCCACTAACTCCTAAGAAATGAGACCTATTACTTTTCAAACAACAAAATCATCTATCTTCATTATATCCTTTGCTAAAGAGAGACTTAGTGGAAGCTCTGAAATTATAGTGTTTCTTTAACTTTGGGCCACATTAGATTTCTGGCTCAGTTTTTCTTTTAGTTTAGGCTCTTTCTAAAGAGAATCCTTATATAGCTCCTATGGTCAGGAGGTGGGGTGGGAGGGTGAGATGACTAGAGAGTTAGGGAAAATGTGTTTCTTAAGTTATACTACTTGGGATAGTCTCTTGGACAAGTTGCTTATACATTTCAAAGTTTCTTGTCCTTTGCTGTTCTGGCTTGCTTACAGGTATGTTCTTGTTTGTTGTTTAAAATATCTTTTCCAGAGTGTTATAAGTTTCATACTACGTGTTGAAGACATTCAGTCTCTTTTGCAGTCTTGTCCACGAATTAAATAAGCAAGTAACAATAATGTGTTCCAAGCATTTATTCTAATAAGAGTATTGGTGCTGTTTTATGGATTCTTATTTTTAAGGTTGTAGGAACCAATGTTTGCTGTGTCTCTCTGGATTCTATCTTCTTATCCATTGCTATCCTACCCTTGTTAAAATTATAAATCATGAACATGTTTATCTGTTTTCCCAGAGCCTGCTACTTTATCAGACTCTTTCTGTGAGCCATTGCTTCATCAACTGTAATCACATTATATAGTTATGGAAATCTGTCTCAAGAAGGCATAAAGATCTGCTGGAAAGATACAATACATATCTCTAGCTCACAGGATATTTGTTTTCATGGTTGTCTACATGAAAGAGAATGGCTTTACTATTAAGTTTGACTTGTGAGGTCTGTTTTTATAATGTTTCTTCCTATAATCTTTTTCCATCTCTCCAATTTCCGTTAAAATGAGACCTGCATGAATGTAATCTAGTCAGGAACCTTATTTAGGATTTTGTACTAATGGGCAAAAGAAATATTAGTCGTCCAAGGCCAACTCCATTAAATGAATGTTAAAAATTGCAGCATCAAATATAGTGTGTAAACAAGTCTAGCTTTTGAGTTATTTTCCTTGATGTTTTTAGGAAATGATAAAAACTTAGAACATACAGTGCTGTATTCCAGGAATGATATATTAACCCTCAAACGTAATTGCTAAATAGTGCCTTTGTAAGAGTCTATGAAAACTAAACATCCTGATATCTTTATTGAAAAATAATTTTCTCTCTGAAAAACTTGTATTAAATATTCTTATGTTGAAATTTATTATTGATGCAGCAGAACACTTGTGTGATGTGAAAGCAAATCTTTTTATTTAAATACTCATGATAAAACTTTAGCCAATAAGAGGAAATAAAATGGTACGCCTGGACTATTTAAACTTTGTTTTCTTTCCTCAATTGTCTTTTTATTTCTTTGAATCCATTTTTTCTCCTGTCTGATTATAAAAGTAGCCACTGCTCAGTATAGCAAATTGGGAAAATATAATTATTAGAAGCAGAGAAAAAGCACCCCCCCACACACCCATAATCTTACTACCTAGAAACAAATACTATTAACTTTTTATCATATTTACTTGTAGATTTATTATTTTCTCTTTTATTTTTTGGAGCATAAATAAATTTGTACTGTATATACATTTTTATGTCTTGCTTATAAAGAAATGAAACTATCACTAGCAATGTTTTATATCATTAAAAACTTCATAAACATGGCTGTACAATAGATATTTACTATTGGACCATTTCCCTACTCTTGGGCATAAAGATTATTTTCCATTATCTGTTATCATAAATAACACTATAGTGAACATCTTTATGCAGGAACTGTTACCCACATTTCATTTTGCTTCCTTAGAATAAATTCCTATGAGGGGGATCGATGGGCAAAGGATATGAATATTTTAAAGACTCTTGTTACAGTTTCTAAATTGCTACCAGAAAATTTTTACTATTTTGCTGTCCTATCAGTAGTAAATGAGATGCTTTTCCTTGAATTTCTTGCTTTGAATTGTTTTATGAACTCAGATGTTCAGACATTTAGAACAAATTGTTTCTTTGTCCTCACACTTTGAAACTTCTCACAAATAAATAGGATGTGATGCAATGTTTCAGGCCTCTAGTCATAAAGGAATTAATTGCATTCCAGCAATAACATGAGACAATAAAACAGACCCCTATATTATTTTCACTCTTTTTCTCAATTCATCAATCCTGTTTTATCTGGGTGTGCCAACAGATTGTCCTCTGAGGTATGTAATGGGAGATTTTTTTTAAAAAGTGTTTTTTTTTTTTTTTTATCAACGAAGTATTTCTTATATTACTGCAAGCAGTAATGTAACTTAAACACACACACACATACTCTCTCTCTTTTATGTATGACATGTCTGAATTGGACTTTAAAATTCTAAGGGAGTTTGCTGCTTCTTTAGTCCCCATCCTGGAGATTTCAGGCTAAGTGAAACTTCATCTTGACCATGGCCAGAAGCAACATATCACAGTATAAACAGCACAGACAATGGATTCAAACAGATTTGTGTTTATATCCTGACTTTGATACTTATGAGATGTTTTGATTAGTTAACTAACTTGATTAGTTAATTAATCTTTTGGTACCTCAGTTTTCCCTCTGTAAAATGAAGATAATAATACTATTTCATGTGGATGTTGTGAAAATTAAATGAGACAATGCGTGTAAAGAGACTACTGTGGTGTTTGGTAGATAGTAATAGGGGCTATTGTTTTTATTAAACATCATAACAGTAGTAATAATGCTAATAACAGCAAGAGCAAAACCTACCACAACAGGTTATTAGTAAATTACTACTACATTTTTTGTTCCTCTCTTTCACCTTCTCTTCCTCTTCCTTATTCTGCTTGTCCTTTTCTTCCTCTTCCTCCTCCTCCTTTCAGATCTCCTATTGCTGATTATCATCATCTTCATCATCATGATCAAGCAAATTGTAATGGTTAAGAATATGCACTCTATGTTAGCTATACCTGAATTCCAGGCCTACCTCTGCCACTTACTATCCCTTTGACCTTGGGAAAGTTATTAATCTATTTAAATTATCAATTTCTATGTCCATTTAATGGGGTTAATATTAGTATCTAGTAGAGTTAGTG